GGTCACTTCATACTGGTAGAGGGAATAATTCAATAATATAACAATAGTAAATAATTATGCCCCAAACATTGGTGCACCTCATTATATGAAACAGACACTACTCAAACATTCAGATAAATCCCAGTACAATAATGCTGGCTGATTTCATCACACATCTCTCACCAATAAAAAGGTTAGCCAGATATAAACTTAGTAAAACTCTTTAGAACTAAAAAAAAATTATAAATCAAATTGAACTTAAATGACATCTATGGAATATTTCATCCAACAATAACACTTTCTTCTTAGTTGCTCATGAAAACTTTCTCCAAACTAGACCATATTTTAGGTCACAATGAAACTTTTAGCAAAAACAAAACCTGATATAATTCCTTCATCTTATCTGCTCATAATGGAATTAAAGTAGAAGTCAACACCTAAACACCCTACAAAAACTACATAACTACATAAACATGTAGATTATAGATTGAATACACTTTTGAATGATGAATGAGTGATCCAAAAAATCAGGGGACACTATAAAGGTCTTTCTAAAAGACCTTTTTTAGCTATGAGTGCCTATATGGGAAAATCAGAAAAATCCCAAATAAAAATATATAATGCTACATCAAAGGGCAAGTTTATTGGATGATAAACAAAAATAAACCAATTTATTCTTGATAAACAAGAATAAACCAATTCTAAAATCAGTAAAAGGAATAAAATAATTGAGATAAAAGCCAAAATCAATGAAATTGAGAATAAAAAAAAAAACAATACAATGGATCAATGAAACAAAGAGTTGTTTCTTTGAAAAGAAAAACAAGATTGATAAGACTAACTAACCAAAAGAAAAAGAAGATTAAAATTAATCATAAAAAAGGAGAAATCACCAGACACTTCAGAAATCCAGAGGATCATTAGGAACTATTTTGAAAACTCATATTCCGATAAATTGGAAAACCTAGAAAAAATATGATCTGCTAAAAAAGGGGACACAAAAACAAACAAATAACTAGCAATAAAATAAAACAATAAAAAAAGCCTTCAACAACAACAAAAAGCCTAGGCCCAGATGGATTCTCAGCTGAATTCTACCAGGTCTTTAAAGAAGATGTACTGCCAATGTTCCTCAAATTCTTTCATAAAACAGAAAGGGATGGAACACTTGTGAATTCATTCTATGAAGCCAGTATTACCCTCATACCAAAACCAGATAAGAAAACATCAAGGAAAGATAACTATAGACTAATATCACTGATGAAACTAGATGCAAAACCCCTTAATAAAATATTAACAAATCGTATTCAACAACGAATTAAGGTTGTATATCATGACAGTTTTAGTCAGCTTTTTTACTGCTCACACCCAAAGACCTGACAAAAACAATGAGAGGAAGAAAAAAGTTTATTTTGGGGATTATGGTTTCAGAAGTCTTAGTCTATAGATGGCTGACTCCATTGCTCCTGGCATCATACAGGAAGAGTGTGGTGGAGTAAAGTGGCTCAGGACATCACACCAGGAAGCAGAGAGAAAGTTTCACTCCACTCATCAAGGACAAAATTTTACACCAAAGGCATGCTCCCAGGAATCCACCTCCTTTAGCAACACCCTATCTGTCTACAGTTACCACCCAGTTAATCCCTATCAGGAGATTTTTATACTGATTAGGTTAAGACTCTCATAACCCCTTCATTTCATTTCTAAACTTTCTTGCCTTGTCTCACACATAAGCTTTTGGGGGGACACCTAATATCTATACCATAACAATGACCAAGTTTGTTTTTATCTCAGGGATGTAAGAATAGTTTAACATATACAAATTAATAAATGTAATTCACCACAAATATAGAATATGAAACAAGATACAGACGCCTACTCTCACCATTCCTATTCAATATAGTACTAGAAATTCTAGTCAGAGAAATGAGGGAAGAGAAGGCAATAACAGGAAAAAAACCCAAAAAAAAAAAAAAAGGATGAAGTCACATTATAACTGTTTGCAGATAATATGATCCTATACTTAGAAGATACAAAAATCTCTACCAGAAGGCTACTAGAGCTAATAAACAAATCCAGCAAAGGTGCAGGTTATAAACCAATGATGAATCTAGTGAGAAAGAAATCATGAAAACAATTCCATTCACAATAGCCTAAAAAAAAAACCCAGAAATAAATCTATCCAGAGAGATGAAAGAACTCTTAAAACTATGTAACAGCAAAGAAAAAAGAAGAATTGAAGAAAACACAAGAAGATTTTAAGACTTTCCATATTTATGCATAGGGAGAATAATATTGTTAAAATGGCTATACTACCAAAAGCAATATACAGTTTCAAAGCAATCTCCATCAAAATACCAATGACTTTCTTCCCAGAACCAGAAAAAGTCCTAAAATGCATGTGGAAGAACAAAAGACCCATAATAGTTAAAACAATTCTAAGCCAAAAAAGCAATGCTGAAAGTCAACTCACAATGGATAAAGACTTAAGAATTAGGTCAGAAACTATAAAACTCCTAGAAAAAAATGCATATGTGCAGGCAATGACTTTCTTTATAGGACCCCTAAAGCTCAAGAAATAATGCTAAGAGTTAATAAATGGCATCAAATTAAAAGGTTTTTGCACACAAAGGAAACAATTAAGATTGTGATGAGACAACCTACAGAATGGGAGGAAATCTTTGCTAACTGCTCTTCTGAAAGAGAATTAAAATCCTGAATATATATGGAACACAAAAACTTAACACAAAAATAATCCAACTAATAAATGGGCAAATGAACTAAACAGATACTTCTCAAAATAAAAAATACAATTGGCCAACAAATATATAAAAAAAATGTTCATCATTAGCAATTAGAGAAATGCAAATAAAAGTATACTGAGATTTCATCTCACTCCAGTTAAATGGCATCCATCAAAAGTACAAATAATAAATACTAGAGAAGATATGGAGAAAAATTAACACTTTTACACTATTGGAGAGACTGTAAATTAGTACAACCGCTATGGAATTCGGTATGGAGTTTCCTCAAAAGACTAGGAATAAAACTACCATATGACCCAGCTATACCATACCTCAGTATTTATCCTAAAGAATTAAAATCAGCATACTATAGTGATACATACATATCCATGTTTTAACAGCACAATAACTAAACTATAGAACTAGCCCTGGTGCCCACCAATAAATGAATGGATAAAGAAAATGTGGCATATATACACAATGGAGTTTTATTCAGCCATAAAGAGGAATGAAGTTATATCATTTGCAGGAATATGGATGGAACTTGAGAACATCATGTTAAGTGAAATAAGCCAAATTCAAAGTCAAGGTTGTGTGTTTTCCTTTAGATATAGGAGCTAAAGAAAAAAAGGAAAAGAAAGGTGGGGAGGGAAACATGAAAATTGAAAGGAGATCAATAGAGTAGAAAAGGAACCCAGGGGAGGGAGGAGGAAAAGGGAGATGAGTAATACTGGGGAATAATATTGGCCAAATAATATTGCTATATTGTGTGCATGAATGAATATTTAACAATGAATCCTACTATTATATACAACTATAATAAACCATTTTAAAATATGAAAAAAGAAATTAAAATTTGTTAAAGGAAGAAAGGAAAAGAGAGATGGAGTATGAAAAGAAAGGGGCCTTAGACCCCATAAACTCAAAAAGCAATCCTGTTATATGTGGAAAAATTGAGGCTTAGGGAGAACCAGTCTGTGATCTGATAGAGACATAGCTAGGCAAGCTGGAATGGCTTCACTTTGTGGAACCTGCCTCTGGAGTAAGATGGGGGTTAGGTACTTCATGTGCCCATAGAATCTGATGTTATAAGTTCAGAGAAGTTAGTTGGCCAGGCCCCAGAGGATATGTACAGAGGGTTTCCAAGGCCAGGGACTCACCATCTGTACTTCTGTAACACACATATACTTAGTGTGGTTCTAAAGGAAGTGGCTTTCCCTTGGCTGTTCTATCGGAGGCAGAGTAACATACTCATTTATTGTGCCCCTATGCAATAAAACCCTGAAAACTCTGGAGAGCAGGTTACGTGTAAGCAAGCAGGGCCTGTGGTTGGGGTGGTGAGGGTAGGCTTGCCAGACCACCCTTGTACTCCAGCTTTGGAAACTAGGGTGCCATCTCACCTATCATAAGGGTAGGGGCAGATACAGGTTTTGGAAAACCTGAAGAGATGTCCTTTGTAAGAAAAATAATATAAATCTACATTTGGTTTTGCAAATTTTAAAAATATACATGCATGTGAGTATATTACCAGAATGCTTCCCAGGTCCTTAGAAGGGGACTGAAATGCAGGGGATGGTGAAGTTGAAGGTCCAGCATAGCATGTTGAACCCTTCTCTTTACCCTAAGGGGCCAAGTTCTTTTTCTCCACCAACAACTATCAATCCGGCTTCACATTCAGCTGCCAAACACTCTGCGTCACACAGCCAAAACAAGAGCTGGGAGACAGGCCATGTTTCCCAGCAGTCATCCTGGACTTCACCTCACGTCACTCACTTGGGCAATAGTCACCAGGTTTCCACATGCGTTAAAGGATTGTAACGATTAAAGTTCTGTGTAATCTAAACAAAGTATGACAATTCAGCCTCTTATCTGTAATTATCCTTAAAGTACTTGTGGTATTCAACTAAGGAAGAAGGGCAGAACTGGGTTAGAAAAAAAAGGCAATACTCACTCTATGTATGTCTATATTGTGTACTTAAAACCAGGTTTGAATACTTTGAATATTTACCTTGTATTTGTAATTCATGTTTTAATTTGCAGTTTAACTAATAAAAGAAATAATTAAGATGTGATACAGGGCTGGGGTTGGGGCTCAGTAGTAGAGCACTAGCCTAGAACATGGGAGGCCCTGGGTTCGATCCTTAGCACCACATAAAAATAAATAAAATAAAGGTATTGTGTCTAACTACAACTAAAAAATATTTAAAGAGAGATGTGATACAAATAACTTTTATCTCTCTTTTAAAAACCTCAATAAATCCAGAAATAAATACTCACTTAAAAGTACTGTGCCACAAATCTAGCACAGCCAGCATCGTGGGATTCATTGCATTCAAGTGATCCCTAATATAACTACTTGCAGCTAAAAAAGATGTTCTCCAAGGTTTTGGCAGAATTTCCATCCTGAAAACAAAGAGAAAATATTTAATTACTTATTTTTAATAATCAAGAGAAAGTATTGGGCTAGAGTATAGCTCAGTGATAGAGCGATTGCCTAATATTCATAAGACCCTGAGTTCAATCCCCAACACAGCAAAAAAAAAAAAAAAAAAAGAAAGAAAGAAAAGAAGTATGTTTACAATAAATGCAAATTTTTAGCAATAATTATTTGCTTTTAATAAAAATATATCACCTAATAAATAATACAATATTCAATTATTTTTAAAAATAGATACAGGGTATACTCTATATGGCTTAGTATAATTTCATTATAATAATGATTATCCAACTAAATTTTAATCTTTAGCACATAAATTAATTTTTGTCTGTAAATACTTGATCTGATTGAGTCTACAAATAACTTACAATGATATCTTTGTAGCCAGATATCTTTCATATGTGAAAAAACTCTGTTAATTTTAGGGTATACAACATTTGGATTTTGCCTTTATTTTTAAAATGTTTTAAGGACACAGTCCAACTTGCCCGTGGAAATTCCCTTGAACATTATCATCTGTTAACGTGTAAAGAACATTTTCAAATCACAGATATCCTTTAACATTCTTTTTTTTCTTTCTTTTTTTTATTGTTGGTTGTTCAAAACATTACATAGTTCTTGATATATCATATTTCACATTTTGATTCAAGTGGGTTATGAACTCCCATTTTACCCC